GCCTTGGGCACTGCCAGGGATCCAGGGGCAGCCACAGCTGCTCTGGGCACCCTGTACCAGGGCCTGCCCACCCTGCCAAGGAACAATTCCTTCCCAATATCCCATCCATCCCCGCCCTCTGGCAGTGGGAAGCCCTGTACAGCACTCCTGGAGCCCCTTTAGGCCCTGGAAGGGATTCTGAGGTCTCCATGGCTCCAGAGCAGAAGGGCTCCAGCTTTTGGAGCATCTCCATGGCCTCTGGACCTACTCTAAGAGCTCCAAGTATTTCCTATTCTCTGGTGCTGCACCAGCACTCTGCTGACAGACTACAAGAGCCAACCCCTCAGGCAGGGCTGAGTTTTGGGAGAGCACATTCCATCATGGCATCAGAGAGCCCAAACTGCTGCCAAACCAGTACCTGGGAGGTACCAGGGATGTGGGAAGGGCTGTTGCCACAGAGCTGTGCCCAGCAGCAATCCCCACGAGCTGTGTGGCACTGGGGGTCCCTCCCAGCCCCCTCCCAGCCCCCTCCCAGCAGGGCAGTGCCACGGCAGGGCCGGGAGCCCAGGCTGCCTCACCCAGGCGTCGGAAGCCCTCGGTGCCCGAGATGGGGCCGGGGGCCAGGCTGTTCACACGGATGTTGTTGGGTCCCCACTCCACTGCGAGGTGACGGGTCATGGCATCTGGGGAGGGATTGCAACAGCAGTGAGAGACGGGGAGCAGAGCCATGCCAGCAACTTCTTTGGACGGGGAAAAAAAGCCACAGAAGAGTCTGGCTGAGAGCAAAGGACTCTGGAGGAGAGAAAATCCTCATCCCAAACCCAGACATGCAGTAACCACACCAATTCACATGCTTGCCCCTCTCCAAGGCATCTTCCATGCCAGTATTTAGGAAGAACTGGCTTCTTTCCTGGCCCCATGTGGCTCAGGGCCCCAGCAGGGTGTGTTGAGGTACCTATGGCAGCCTTGGCAGCCCCAGCGTGCACCTGCAGGGCCTGCCCTCGGTAGCTCAGGGTCGCTGTGATGTTAACGATGACCCCGCCATGGTCCTGGGGAAGGAAAGGAAATGTGGAGTTAGGCAGGGAGCAGCACAAAGGGTCACAGAGGGCTCTGAGGGACAGGAGAGCTGGGCTTGGAGGGACAGTCACCCACAGGCACTGTCAAGTCATCACTGGGGCAGCTCTACCCACTGAATCTCAGGGGAGGGGCAGCCAGCGGGGCCCTGCTGAGAGGTGGGACAAGCAGGGTACAAGAAAAGGCCAAGGGAAAGTGGCAGAGCTGGAAAGCGAGCAGGAGATCAGCTTCTCCAGGTGGCAGAGCATGGAAAAGTGCTGCAACAACACAAAGCCCCAGGGCAAGGGACAGGATGAGCCCCAGTTCAGGGCTGGGATCCCTGGAAGGGAACAGAGTGGATCTGTGCAGGGAGGCTCTGGGTCCTTGCACTTCACTGATTTCCCCAGCAGCACAGTGTGGTTTGACACTACCTCTTGCCTACAAGAGCCTCTCCTCAGAGTCCCCTGGCTCTGTGCCACTTACCCGAAAATATTTCTCAAAGAGGACTTTGGAGGTGTTGAAGGTGCCCATGGTGTCGATGTCTATCACTGTCTTGAAGGCGTTGAAGGACAGGGCACTGGCTGGGCACAGGAAGTTCCCTGCAGCACCTGAACCACAGGGATAGGCAAGACAGGTTTGGGAGAGACGTCAGGGCCCTTCTGAGACAGGGAGAGTGAGGAACAGTGTCTGCATGCTGGGGATCACACGGAGACAGCCCTGCTAAGGGATAAACTGATGGCTCTGGGTGCCCAGCAGCACAGCCAGCACGAGGGGGAGCAGGGATGATCCACCCCTAGACAAACAGGGATGGCCACTGCTGGGGAGCACATGGAGACAGCCCTGCTAAGGGATAAACTGATGGCTCTGGGTGCCCAGCAGCACAGCCAGCACAAGGGGATCAGGGATGATGCACCCCTAGACAAACAGGGATGGCCATGTACCACACACAGATCTCTGCTTCCTCTGTGCTCCCAGGAAAACACCCTGCCCAGCAGTGAGCCCAAACCCTGCCCCTGCCCTCTGCAGCCTCACCATTGATGAGGATGTCAATCCTCTTGAACTGCTGCAGCGCCTCGTCCACCGCTGCCGCGATGGTCTGCGGCTGCCGCACGTCCATGCACAGGGGCAGGCACTGCTGCCCTGTGGCTGCCACCAGCTTCTTCGAGGCCTGAACGAACAAAAAGACCCTTGAGAGAGCCTGGCTGCACCCTGCTAGCCCTGGGGTAGCCAGGGAAAGCTCCTGCATGGTGTATCCCAGCCACACTGCATGCTGGGCTGGCTAAGCCCAGGTACCTGCATGGGCTGCTGTGGACACAGCACAGGCAACAGCCCAATCTCTGCAGGGAAAGTACAAAGGCTGGACCCCAGCAAAGCCTTTTTGGCATGAGCCCAGGCATAATCGCCCTTTAGGTCCAAAAAGTCAGTGGGCAAAAGGGCAAGAACAGAGCAGCCAGGTGTCAGGCTGTGAGACAGACCAGCTCTGCAGCTCAGGGTTTGTCACAAGCCACTCCTATGGCTCATTAAGAACAAAATTTTCCCCAGCAAATTGAGCACAGGGGACGCACAAGCTCAGCAGCAACTCCACACAACACCCAGAGCTGCTCTAACTCCTTTTTTGGGCTCTGTGAGAGGTCTTGAGCCCCAGCAACACACAGGTGCATGAGCAGCTGGAGTCTTGGACTGCAGATTCTGTGGCCTCAGAAGACTCAGGCCCCTGAGGACTAACAACCTGCTGAGCCAGCTTCTTCTGGCACATGAGCATGAGGGGGTGGGAAATGACAGGCAACCACACTTGCACCCTCCCCTCTGCCCCAAAACACAGGATACCTGTGCAACCCACAAGCCACACAGCCCCAGGGTCTGCTCCTGCTCCACACTGAGCTTTCAGTCCAACCTTGGGCTCTGCCCTGCTGACAAACCTCCCCCACAGCTCATTTCTGTCTCTCTCCCCCACAAAAGCCATCATGATCGTGGAATAGCCCCCACAATGCAGGTTACAGGTTAACAGAGCTGCGCTGGAGGTGCGCTGGGTGCAGCCCCACACCCGCACCCACCCTGCCCAGCGCCACCGGAGTGCCCGGGGCTGGCAGGCTGGCAGGCACTGGGAAGCACTGGGAAGCCATGCCTCCTACTATTCCCAGGGCTCCCGGCTCCACCGGGAGAGAGCAGAAGGATTTCGGGGCTCGCAGGCTGCTGGAGGCCGGACTCACCTCGGACACCCGCTGCAGGTTCCTGCTGGCAATGACGGTGCGGCAGCCGTGCCTGCAGGGAAGGGGCAGGTGAGACGGGCCGGGCTCCTCAGCAGCACCTCGGGATCACCGGGTGCTCCCTGCAGGAATTGCTGCTGCTCCAGCCCGCAGGGCCCTGTCCCCGAAGCCTCCCTGAGCCGCCCTCGGCTTCACATCCCGGCTCTTCCAGGGCCTGGCAGCGCAGCGGGGAAAGGGATGGGACGGGGGAAAGAGAAGAGAAGGGGGTGAAGAGGAGGAAAGTGCGGGAAAAGGAGGGAAGAGCAGGGAAGAGAAGAAGGGAACGGGGGAAAGAAGAAGGGAAGGAAGGGGCAGTCCCGCCGCAAGGGCTCCCGCACCTCATGAAGATCTCGGCGATGCGGAAGCCGATGCCGGAGCCGCCGCCGGTGATGAAGGCCACCTGGCCCCTGTGGGACAGAGGCACGATCAGAGCCGGGCCCCGCGGAGGCGGCCCCGCGGGCCCCCGGAGCGCCGGCACTCACGCGAGCAGGTCGGGGCTGAGCAGGTGCCGGTACTGGGGCAGACACTCGTCCCCGTCCTCGTCCGGGGGCACCCGCGCGGCCATGGCGGCCTCGGCCATGGCGGGGGCGGGCGCTGCTCACTGCGCCTGCGCGGGCGCCGCCGCCGTCGCCTGGCAACGGGGAGCGCTCCGGGACACAGCGACACCGAGCGGCCACGGCGGGAACTGCAGCGCGGGGTGACCAGAGCCGTCACCGTGAGATCCCAGAGAGAGATCCCAGAGAGATATCCCAGAGAGAGATCCCAGTGAGAGATCCCAGTGAGACATTCCAGTGAGATATCCCAGAGATATCCCAGTGAGATATCCCAATGAGAGATCCCAGAGATAGATATCCCAGAGAGATATCCCAGAGAAATATCCAAGAGAGATATCCCAGAGATATCCCAGTGAGATATCCCAGAGAGAGATCCCAGTGAGATATCTCAGTGATATCCCAGCGAGATATCCCAATGCTATCTCAGTGAGCTCCCAGTGCTGTCCCAGTGCTCCCAGTGATACCCACACCTCCCAGCGGTATCCCACTGCTTTCCGAAGTGTCCCAGTGGCCCCCAGTGCCACCCAGTGGTGTCTCAGCGCTTCACAGCGGCATCCCAGCGCCTCCCAGCGGTGTCCCACTGGTTCCCAGTGTCGCACGGAGCCCCCAGTTTTACAGCTCAGACCCCACCCTGATCTCCTGCAGAGCCCCTGCAGCCCCCCAGGCACAGCCCAGCTCTTCGCAGGGCCTCCCAGTACAGTTCCAGTGCTCCCAGGGACATCCCAGTTCATCCCAGAGCTTCTCAGCACTATCCCATTTTCCCACAGAGCATCCCAGTACCGATCCAGTGCCGCCCAGGAACAGTCCATGGACACCCAGAGCTTCTCAGCGTCTCCCAGGGACATTCCAGTGCCTCAAAAGCCTTCCCAGTACCAACCAGTACCTTCCACGGATGTACCAGTGACACCCCAGAGCTTCCCAGGGACAGCCCAGTACTCCCCAGGGACAGCCCAGGGTCTGCTGGGGTTCCTCAGTACCACCCCAATGCCTCCCAGAGCTTCCCGGTACCACCCCAGTGCCCTCTGGGGACATCCCAGTGCCTCCCAGTATTTCCCAGTACCACCCCAGTGCCTCCCAGTATTTCCCGGTACCACCCCAGTGCCCTCTGGGGACATCCGAGGGAGGAGACCGGAGTCAGAGCTGGGGACACCGGGGTTTATTGGGGACGGGGGTGCCCCCGGCCGGGCCCGACCCTAGAGCCCGTAGATGTTGTCCCTGTCCCTGCTGTCCCAGGCCACCAGCTCGTCCCGCTGGAACCAGAAGCCGATCTCCCGCTGGGCCGTCTCCGCGGAGTCGCTGGCATGGACCAGGTTCCTGCGAGGGGACAGGGATGGGGACAGTGCCACCGCCCTGGGGTCCCGCCCCCGCGGCTCTACCTGGTGATGTGCACGCTGAGGTCCCCGCGGATTGTCCCCACGGCGCTGCTGTCCCCAACCATGGCCCGCGTGCACCGCACCACGTTGTAGCCCTCCCACACCTGCGGGACAGGGACAGGGACAGGGACAGCTGAGTCCCCCGCGCCCCCCGGGACCCCCGGGCTGTCCCCTCACCATGGCCACCACCGGCGCCGAGGTCATGTAGGCGACGAGCGCGGGGTAGAAGGGCTTCAGCCGCAGCTGCTCGTAGTGCTGCTCCACGAGCCTCCGGTCCGCCTGGGGCAGCGGCGGCGACAGTGACACCCGGGCCGTGTCCCCCGGCCACCCCCGCTCCGGAGCAGCGCTCCCCGCGGGCCCGGCTACCTGGAGCAGCTTCATGGCCACCAGTTTGAAGCCGCGGCGCTCGAAGCGCTGGATGATGTCCCCGAGCAGCCGCCGCTGCACCGCGTCCGGCTTGGCCACCAGCAGCGTCCTCTCCTGCAGCGCCGCGGGGGCTGCGCGGGGCCCGCGGGTCGCTGTCACCACCGCAGGGGACACAGGACACCCCCGGACACGGGCGCCGTGGCAGCAGGGCCCTGAGCTGTCCCCGCGGCACCACGGGCTGTACTCGGCCCCGAGGCTGCCGATGGGAACCCGCCCCATCCCTGTTTCCATCGCTGTCCCCATCCCTGCTTCCATCCCTGCCCCATCCCTGTCCCTGTTTCTATCCGTGTCCCCTTCGCTGTCCCCACCCCTTCCCTGTCCCCATCCCTGACCCCATCCCTGCCCCATCCCTGCCCCCGTTCCTGTTTCCATCCGTGTCCCCATCGCTGTCCCCACCCCCTGTCCCCATCCCATCCCGGGGCGTGTCCCCTGGCCAAGCTGTGCCTCTCAGGCTGCTGGGGTCCCAGGGGACGTGTCACAAAACCCTGACGGGTGTTGGGGACATGTCCGTGGCCAGGAAATAGCCTTTAACCCAGGCACGTCTGTGCCGTGTCCCCGTGCTGAGGACTGTCCCCTGCCTGGCCCCGAGGCCTTCCCCCGGCCCGGTCCCAGCGCTCCGCTGCTGGAGGGGAAAATCGGTGACCGAGGGACGGCAGGGTCCGGTCCGAGTCCCGCTGTCACCCGTGGGACGGCAGGGTCCGGTTCCGGTCCCGCTGTCACCCGTGGGACGGCAGGGTCAGATCCCGGTCCCGCTGTCACCCGTGGGACGGCAGGGTCCGGTCCCGGTCCCGCTGTCACCCGAGGCACAGCAGGTCCGGTTCCGGTCCCGCTGTCACCCGAGGCACAGCAGGGTCCGGTCCCGGTCCCGGTGTCACCCGTGGGACGGCAGGGTCAGATCCCGGTCCCGCTGTCACCCGTGGGACGGCAGGGTCCGGTCCCGGTCCCGCTGTCACCCGAGGCACAGCAGGGTCTCACCCCGCCGCTGGCCCTGCCGCGGCTGCGCCGCAGGAGGGGACAGAAGCCCCAGGGGACAGTGCATCCCGTCCGCTGGAGGGACAGAGGGGACAGGAAGGACGGGAAGGGAGAGGGAGAGAGGAGGAAGGGAGAGGACACTTCACTGCCACTCCCTTCGGGGACCCGTCCCGGGTGCGGGGCCGGGTGGCCCCGGTGCTGGCGGGGACAGAGCCGGACAAACCGAGCCCGGGAGCTCACCCGGGCACTGCTGAGCACTGCTCGGCTCTGCCAGGGTCCTGGCCCGTCCCTGTCCCCCGCACCGGCGTCCCCCCAGCACCGCCCTGGGGACACTGAACCCCTTGGGACTTCCAGAGAGCGCCAGCTCCGGTCTCTGTCCCATCCCGGCACACGGGGCTGGGGACAGCAGAGCCTGGCACAGGCTCGCCCCACAAAGGGGCGACAGGCGCCCGAGAGCCGCCACCCGCCCGGCACGGAGGGACCGGGGGCACTGCGAGGGGATGGGGCACCGAGGGGACAGGGTGGGAACAGGAGCGCTGAGGGGCAGCACAAGCAGGGGACTGGGGACAGAGCGGGGATGAGGAAAGGGTCCCCAGGGGCAGGACAGGGAAGGGGCTGAAGGCCCCCAGGGATGGGGACCGGGTTCTCTGGAGCAGGGGTGGGGACAAGGTCCCCAGGGGCAGGATGAAGGTGGGGACAGGGTCCCCGGGGGCAGGACAGGGACGGGGCCGTGTCTCACCCGAGCCGTAGCAGCGGGGCCCGGGGGGGCTCAGGCCCGGCTGCCCCCGCGGGAGGCTCCGGGCCAGGCAGCGCCCCAGGGAGCCCATGGCGGCCCCGGCGGGTCGGAGCCGGGCTCGGTCGGTCTGCGGAGGCTTTTAGAGCCCGGGGACGGGTCAGGCTTCCGTCCCTCCCCTTAAAGGCCGCCGCGCCTGCTCGGGACATCCCAGGACGGAGCATCCTCCCCATGCAGAGCGTTCCAGCACGGAGCATCCTGACACGGAACATCCCGGCTTGGAAGCCCAAGCCCTGCCGGGGTGGGAGCACAGCCCACACCCACCCCGAGGGGAGCCAGACCTTGCCAGGAACCAAAGGAGCCTCGTGCAGGGAGAGGCCGTGTCAGCCCCTGCCAGGCTGAGCTGGGGCACAAGGGAGGCCCCAGCCCCGGAGCAGCCAGGGCAGTGCTCCCCTGAGGGGCACAGGCCTGCCCTGGACACAGGGGGTGCTGGGGAAGGGGTGCAAGGCCCTGGGAGCAGAGGAACTGCCCAGGTGGGAGCCCTCTGATCACTCCCAGTTTGGGAAATTACTCTGTACTGGGCTTCCCTGCTCTCAGACACCTCATGGAAAAGCCTGGCTGCTTGGAGCCTGTTTCCCAAATCTGTGCTGATTTGAAGGACTGAGGAGTATCCTGAAAAAAACAAGCTGAGGGCTGGGCTTGATCCCACTCTCCCTGTTACCACCCTGCCTTCCCAAGGCACAGGGAGTGGGGGGACAGAACCCCTGCCACAGCCTGGGGGGCTCTGGGGACTGGCTGTGCTCAGCACCATGGCAAAAAACACCCCAGTGCCATCCCACGGGCAAATGGATTCAACTGGTTGTGGAAAAGAGACTTTTCTGGCCCCAAACAAGAGGCTGGGGATGGGGAAAGAGCCCTCTGCAGGGTTTGCCAGGCCAGGGGCAATTGGACAGAAAGGTGTCAAAGGGGAAGAGGTTTTAGGACAAGGGGTGGCAGATTGGAGCCTGGGCTTGGACCACCGAGCAGCTGCTGGCATTGACCAAGGGAAAATCTTCTACTTTCACCCTGTGTAAAACCAAGAAAGAGAAGCAGCATGAGCCTGGAGAGCTGTGCTGGGATGAAATCCCTTCAGCCCCAAGGGGAGCCACAGCCAGCAGGTGGTGGAGGAGGTGGCTGCCAGCTTCCCGTGCCCCCAGTGCCAGGCAGAGCTGTGAGGGGGCCCAGGAGCAGCTCAGGACCAGCTCAGGAGCAGCTCAGGAGCAGGGCCAGGTCTGGACCCTGCACTGGGTGCTCGTGCACCGCTACCAGCAGGAACAGCAAGGACTCCCAATCTCAGTGGAGACAGGGACACTCCACGTGTTGTTCCAGGTGTGGCTGGCAGGCAGCTTGGGAAGGCTGGGCCCAGACCATCATCCCCCTTCTTTCCTTCTCTCTCACCCCTCTGGAGCCAGCTCAGCCCTCACCTGCATGGGCTGGAGCAGGTGAGGCACATCCTGGGCACCTGGACTCTGCTCCAGGGCAGGGAGCCCAAACATCCAGCTGGTGCCAGGTCAGAGCCTGGATGCAGGAATGGCACAGATAATCCAAACAGCATCCCTCATCTCCCCATGGCAAATGGGCACAGGGAAGGGGCTTGTCCACAAACCTGAAACACAGGAACCATGGAGGAAGTGCTGCCCCACTCCAGCTCATCCGACAACCTCCCAGCTGTCCAGGTGCAGCCACCACACAGACACATCTCCAAACATTCCCAGGAGAACATCACCAGGAGTGCTCCCTTCCCAGAGCCTGGTGCTGCTCCTGCCACTGCAGCTGCCCACTTAAACACAGGGAATTGAGAATGATTCCACAGAGTCATGGAGTGGTTTGGGTTGGAAGGAACCTCAAGGCTCATCCCACCCCCTGCCATGGCAGGGACACCTCCCACTGTCCCAGCGTGCTCCAAGCCCCATCCTGGCCTTGGGCACTGCCAGGGATCCAGGGGCAGCCACAGCTGCTCTGGGCACCCTGTGCCAGGGCCTCGGCAGCCTCCCAGGGAACAATTCCTTCCCAGTATCCCATCTAACACTCTCCTCATTCAGCCTAAGGCCATTTCCCCTTGTCCTGTCACTCCATGCCTCTCAAATTTAATCTATTAAATATAAAAATTAGGACTGATATAATACTGCTTCCTGACCAGAGACCTCAGGGAAAAGAAATCATTCCCAGCTGCATGATCAGAGATCCACAAGCCCCACACAATCTGTCCCTGCCTGACTGGTGTCTGGGATTTTACCAGACAGATGCCACTACTGGGTCACTGGGCAGAGGGTGAACTTCAGCTCCAGGCTCCCTGGGAATGGGGGATTTCTTCCTGCAGGCACTTCATGCTCGATTCAGACACGTGTGCTGGAGGGGATGAATGGATCACCACAACATGTGACAGAAAACACAGGAGAACAATGAGGAGACAGCAGAAGAAGCCACCACTGATCTGCACCTTCCAGGAGCTGCTGGACTTGTTGGGATCCTTGTTGGCTGCTCCTCATTCCTGATCCTGGGAAAAGCTGTGGATCACTGCCCGTTCATTTCTACAAAATGACCTAGAGGGTAACAAACCCAGCCCCAAGTTATTTAAAACAACAAAGTAAGCACTTTATTCCCATTAAGCATGTTGTTTTAGTATCACAATGGAATGATGAGAAAACGTTTAAAAAAAAACCCAAAAAAAGTCTCTAAATCCCCGCCAACATCGGGGAGGTATTCAAGGCAATTTAAAAACAAAGGGAGTGACAGAAGTGCCAAACCAGTCCCAACGTCAGGAGACTCCTCCTCCGAGAGCTGGGCGGGGCAGGAAGGTGGAATGACACGAAGGTACGAATGTCTGAAGTGGTCTTTGGCGCTTCTGCCTCGTGTTTGATACGGACATGATGTCTCCAGACACCTCCAGATGCAACAAAGTGCTACAGGAGCAGAGGGAAAGCCCCGGGAGAGGGATTTCCCGACAGTCGGGATGCCCCGGGGTGGGCGTTAAGACACATCCTGCCGGCTCCAGCTGCGGCCTCGGGCTGGGCAGGGAGAACTCAAAGGAAGCGGTGGAGCGCGGTGAATCCAGGCCGGCTCCCGCAGCGCCGGCACGGCCCGGGAGGAGAGGGGCGGTGGCGAACCGGAACGCGGGGCTGTGCCCCGGGGAGGGGCAGCCCAGTGCAGTCACTATAACTTCACAGTCCCCGGGGGCAGGCTGTCGTTGCACAGTCTGTAATAGCGCAGGTCGTTCACCAGCCTGTGCACGTTCTGTGTGAACGAGGGCAGGTCCTGCAAGGGACACAACAACAACTGCTGGGAACGGACTCACAGCGGGCAGCAGGGAGGGGCAGGCACCCAGAGGGTGCTCACGGGTGAACAGATCCGCCCCGACTCAGTCTGAGCCCGGGAACTGCAGGGATCCAGGCTCTGCTCCCATCTCCGACCTCTCACTGTGCAGTGAGGCCCAGAGCAATGGTCATGGAATCATGGAATGTTCTGGGCTGGGAAGGGCCTTAAAACTCATCCAGTGAGGGATGAGGCAGGGACACCTCCCACTGTCCCAGGCTGCTCCAAGCCCTGCCCAGCCTGGCCTTGGGCACTGCCAGGGATCCAGAGGCAGCCACAGCTGCTCTGGGCACCCTGTGCCAGGGCCTGCCCCCCCTCCCAGGGAACAATTCCTTCCCAATATCCCATCCATCCCTGCCCTCTGGCAGGGGGAAGCCATTCCCTGTGTCCTGTCCCTCCATGCCTTGTCCCCAGTCCCTCTCCAGCTCTCCTGGAGCCCCTTTAGGCCCTGGCAGGGGCTCTGAGCTCTCCCTGGATCTGTCTCTCCCCCAGCTCTTCCAGCCTGGCTCCATGGCCAGATGCAGCACTAATTCCTTGCTGCCCTCCTGCCAAGGCTCCTGGGTGTCACACACTCCCTGACGAGGCCTGGTATTCCTGAAGAACAGTTACCTTCCAGAGCCAAGCCATTCCCCCAGGGTTCCATTCCCTCACCCTTGGTCTCAAATTCCTATCCCCTCCCTCAGGACAGGGAGCACACAATGAACAACCCTCAGTAAATGGAAGCCAGAACCTGCTGCTCTGCCATGATATTCCACACGTTTCCTTCCCACACAGGAGGGGTTTGCAGGGATTGTGAGCCTGTGCAGGTACTCTGCTGTCCCTACTGTAACCCTCAAACATGTGGCCAGCAGCTGGAGCAAGATTCAGGCAAGGAGCTGAGCGTCCCACTTGGGAACACGTCAGGCCAGTCCAGTGAAACCTTCCTCCAGGAAACACCTTCCCTGACTGCCACAGCACCGTGCAGCCTGAGGGGTGATGGCAGCTCTGCTGCCTGCACTGAGAACTCCTTGGCTGTGGATTGCTGAGCACGGAAGTGCTGGGAGCAGAAGGCACTGCCTGGAGACATTGCCAGCGTGTTCTGGGGGAGCACTGTGCATCCTGGCAACACCACAGTGCTGCAGGCCCCTGCTTACCCTGTCCATTTTGAAGTTCCTCCCCAGCACGTTCTTCTGGTTGGAGTCCACGCCGTCGCAGCTGGCCAGGAACTCGGGCAGGAAGGCGGAGTAGAAGCCGTCGAAGTCCACCGAGGCCATGTTGTAGGTGGCGATGCCGATCTCCTCCTGCAGCAGGTCGTGGGACTTGTGCACCAGCACCTGCAGCAGCACGTTCACAAACTGGAACAGCATCGTGGTCCTGAAGATCTTCTGCACAGGGAGAGGGGCTCAGGGTTAGGGGACTTCACTTCTCCCACAGGAGGACAAATCCAGCAAGGACAGAGGAGCCACAGCTCCAGCAGCATCTGCACACCCTGGTGAGCACTGAGATGATTTTCTAAGCCAAGCCAGATCAAAAATGGCCAAAATAAGCTCAAATACTATCAGCTTGAGAGTTAATGTTGAATTTGGCCACACTTACGTCATGGTTTGGGGCTTCAGGGAGAGCTCAGAGCCCCGTGCAGGGCCTAAAGGGGCTCCAGGAGAGCTGGAGAGGGACTGGGGACAAGGCATGGAGGGATAGGACACAGGGAATGGCTTCCACTGCCAGAGGATAGGGATATGGGATGGATGGGATATTGGGAAGGAATTGTTTCTTGTGAGGGTGGGCAGGCCTGGCACAGGGTGCCCAGAGCAGCTGTGGCTGCCCCTGGATCCCTGGAAGTATTCAAGGTCAGGCTGGGAAGGGTTTGGAGCACCCTGGGATAGTGGAAGGTGTCCCTGCCATTGCAGGGGGTTAA